GATGGGACAAGAGCGAGTAGGAGAAATATCCATTTTGAATATCTGAATTCATCATTGACTCACTATTATGTTGAACAGGAAGTGCATTTTTAAAAGGGGGGAAATTGAATATGTTAATCATGTATATTAAATTTATAGTCAGGAACATATAGGCTTACATTATTTCTTCTTATATATCACATTGCAATTATTTAGGAGGAAGTCTTTGCAAAAGACTGACTAAGCATTTGTTCAATAATGGAGTATTTTTGATTTGATTGATCATTTATGGAAAAGTTGATTTGATTCAAATGCTGTGAATGCTGGTTTCATTATCTGAGTATGGTCTAGCTTGACCTGGGCTATTTTGAGATGGAACATTGACATTATTTCCATAATTTTAAGATAAATAAGTGTGATTAGATGCATTAGGTGATAAACAAATGCTTTTGCTTATATAGTAAGAAGCCTTTGGTCTCGGCAAATTCATTCACTTTCAAGTGTGGTGACACGATACTTTCTAAATAGTTTTTTAACTATTTCAGTTTGACTTACAATACGAGGAACTAAGAGGGTCATTGTAATGTCAAAGATGGACACCAAAATTACAAAAGCAATCACTCCTGTTGATGTAGTACAGAAGACTAATCCTCTTGTTAAAAATATTCCAAAAGTATCAGAGAAATGGAGCAAGCATTGGCCTGACATTGACCAACCTTGGCCAGTGGAAGGGACTTTGAACCCGGATGTGATTAAAACAATACAGGTGCTTGTGTCTCCATATAAGGTAAGTCAGAAGAAAGGCAAAAAGGGAAAGAGACGTAAGGAGAAAAAACAAACTGAACTTGGCATTCTGCAGTTGTTAGAAAATGAGGGACAGAAATTGTTAGAAGCTTCAAAAGAAAAAAGTATATAAAAGTATGCAAGAAATAAAAAAAAATGTTTTTGTGTTGTGAGGTCATAAGCAGGTGGGGACTCCCAGATTGCATATCTTCAGATAATGGCAAAGAGTTTGTGAATAAAACAGTCAGACTAATTTTGAAAAATTGGGAATTAAATAACATCTAGGAGTTGTTTATCATCTGCAAATCCAAGGTGTTTGTGAATAAACTAAAAAAATAAAAAAATGAATGATGTGTTAAAAAAAAAAAAATTGTATTGTTAAAATCTGCCAACACATAGGTCTGAATTTGATGAAGGTGCTTTTGTTGGTGCTAATGGTGTTTTGATTAAAGCCACGCAGAGGTCAAAGTTTAAATTGAACTGGAGACGACTGTTATACTTTGATCCCTGATGCTGCTGACAATATGACTAGTGTCATAGATGCATTGAAACTCATAAGGAATTAATTTGATCCATCAGAAGGAGCAGGATGGTCTGTGAATGTTTGGATGCAATAACAATTAGGACCAGTAGGAGCTATAGTGTTTTAGATTCTGACGCTACTGAGTTGTAATGACCTGCACAAAGATGAGGAGGTCATAGAGATGGGACAAGAGCGAGTAGGAGAAATATCCATTTTGAATATCTGAATTCATCATTGACTCACTATTATGTTGAACAGGAAGTGAATTGATAAAAGGGGGGAAATTGAATATGTTTATCATGTATATTAATCATGTATATGTTAATCATGTAGTGGAATAATGTGAAAGTATGATACAAAAATGAATATTTTTGATGTTTTTGTATGTGCAAAGATACTGGTTGTAGATTTTTCTTCCCAGGACGATATTTGGGAGACCAATGTGAGGGTGGCTGATTGTCCAGAGATCCTTCCAGCTTAATGGACTTGAAACAACCAAATTTAGGAAAATGGAGGATGGAAGTGGACAACGGAAACCTGAATGAAGACATCATGATGAGGGGTTTCGATTGAAAAATAATTGAGGGTTTATTACAGTAGAAGCTGATGCTGCTAAAAAGCAACAGTTTGATATATATATATGTATGTTTTTATAGTATTGGATTTTCTTTATTACAATGTAACTTGTATTATTGATAAATATTATGTATGTTTTACTCTATAGTAGATATTTTTAGCAAGACATATTACTTTGGATTAGTATTTGATAGTATTTCTGGAACTGTATAAGATGCATATGTTGGGACCTCAGGTGTTTTCTTTCTTTATCGATCCTTAGGGAAAGTGGTGTTAGGTAGGGAAAGGTCCATTGGAAGGTGCGATGGGTCGACCAGCCTGACTTTGGACAATTTTTAGATTTTATTTCTGAGGTTTTAAATGTATGCATTTATAAATCATCCTATAGAGTTTTCAGAACCCTTTTTCTTTTTAATTGGATTGGAGTACTATAGGTGGTTGCCTGGGGCAGAGGGACCGTGAGAGAGTTTTCCTGTCTAGATTGTTTGATGGATAATAAAGAAAGATAGTTGCCTGATGGGTTTTTCGCTCTCACACTCCACAAATAAAAAATTTACGATATTGCTAAGGTTAAGCATGTACAGAAGTGATTCTTATGAGGCTAATTAACATCGTAAGTCCCATTTTTCTCGTTAGCGAGACTATAGTCTCGAAAGGGGGACTATGACGTGTCTGACGTAACTAGGACAGAGATAATATACTGCTCCTTTAAGTTTATAACGTGTACATCTGGAGAGAATTTGTATCTGAAGGAGATTTATGTGTGTGTGTGTGTGTGTGTGTGTGTGTGTGTGTGTCTGCGTGCGTGCGTCCGTGTGTGTGTGTGTGTGTGTGTGTGTGTGTGTGTGTGTGTGTGTGTGTGTGTGCGTGCGTGTATGTGTGTGTGTGTGTGTGTGTGTGTGTGTGTGTGTGTGTGTGTGTGTGTGTGTGTGTGTTTGTACGTGTCAGCTCGCGCCTGCAACATGTATGTAAACAGAAGAGGAGCAGCAGTGAGAAGCTGCAGGTACCAAACGCGCGTAAAACTCCTCATATATTTTATAAAAACACTTTGAGGCAAATCCCACGATATTCTGTTCACAGATCATTATATGTTCATTGTAAAACTCCGTGATTCCGTCCGTGTTTTGCGCATCGCGGAAATTATATATGGGACCTAAAATAACATTAAAATCTCAAGTATTTTCGAGTCATTAGGCTCTAGTCCAAGTGAAGTCCCAAGTCACTGGTGTTGAAGTCCAAGTCGAGTTGCAAGTCTTTCATGATTTTGTCAAGTCGAGTCCAAAGTCATCAAATCTGTGACTCGAGTCCACACCTCTGGTTTGAGATACTTGAATTTTGTTTAAGTCTATGAATTTTAACTTCCTGTTACTTAAACAAAGGGCTTACATTTAGAAACGACTCAAGTAAGAGAATAATTCCTACATATCTCAATAGTAACTCAAGAGAGGGGAAATGGTAGGCTACAATTAAAGATAAAAAAAAGGAGAATGTTTCATGTCGCAGCACCCCCGAAGAGGAAAACGGTACGTTTCTACGTATTCTTTTGTAGTTTCTAGACATAGATATTGTTTACACACATTTATGTACAAGAATAACAGCTTCAAGTTGGTTTTGTATTACCGGTAACACGTTTTTTTTCTTTTTCTTTTTCTGTGTTATGTTACCTGCGCTTACGTTAGTTGGGGATTTACTATAAATCTTAAAATCATCGGCTCAAGTGTCAGACTGTCTTTCGGTGGGATAATCTACAACCACTGTGTCTGTGCTGACGTCCTACCTTCTGTATCATGATGACGTAAGGGCCGAGCATTTCAAAACCACGAGCGAAGAACATGACGTTACACCAGCCGAGAACCAGGCACACCGCCATCACCACGGCCTCTCCCTGCACCCCACATGCTCTGAACACACACAGCAGCACCACCAAGCAGGCGTAGCTGATTCTGGACAGAACAAAAAAAAAAGCACTAAGGTTAATTATATTACGAGGAACAATGTGCTTGTTTCTACTGCTTAGAAGTGTTTCTACTCACAAGATAACATGGAAGGGGCCTCCGAGAGCTGTCTGGCCAAAATATCGCCTTGCCCCCACTCTCAGTATGTCAGGGATCTGGTGTAAAAGATAACACATTGGAGGTTATCAGTGAAAACCCTTAAATCATACCCTGCAGTGTGTTAGAAGCATAGTTGATAATTTCACCTCCAGCAACAGGATGACTAAAGCCCCCAAGACACTGATGATCTCACCCACCAGCCGCAGGTTGTCCTTATATGTCAGGTAACTTTCCTGAGGCACACAGAGAGGAAATACACACGCTTTAATATTAAAAGCACATTATTATGAGAGCATATTAATGTACAATGTGGCATGTGCAGGTGCACACATCTACACACACACATACACACAATAAGTGAAAAGGAAATTAGGAGCCAAAGCCCAAACAGTCTTCGAGTATGGTCATGTTTTTGTGATTATATTTAGGTTGTTCTTCAATTTTACCTTACAGATTGTATTCTAATTTAAACCACAAGCATGTTTAAACTCTCCTTTCCGTAAGGTAATTTGAAATAAAAGGCCACTTAAGGTCCTGGGAAGGACAAAGTATTGAGATCTGCAGCACATTATAAAAAAAAACCTCATTACAAGTAGAAGTCATGTATTCAAATTTAGTAACGTTTTTTAAGGTAGAAAGTAAAATCCTTTATGCAAAAGCCATTTATTGTTCATGTATTGAATCAGTTGTAAATTATAATAAGGTGAATAAATTAGTAAGATTTGAATGTCAGACTTTTACCTGTAAAGTCATGTTTTGTTATCGGAGTAGAGATTTGATTGATTCTTAAACTGCTGCTGTTCAATACACATGATGCTGATTTCTTAGTTACTGTGATTACAACAATTGTTCTTCAGTAAATATAAACTATTAATAGTCCTGCATTTCTTTAGCATGACTACATAGTTAAATGATGACGTGCTATCAATCACATTTAGGTGTTCATAACTTTAACATACATTGAGTGTTTTCTGGACTCGGATGGTCTTATCCATGTCTGACTTTGTGTAGTTCTCTGGAATGTCCTTTAGAGGGCGATATGCACAACACAGAGTGAAGGTCCCGATGTACAGGAGGTACAGTAACATTAGCAGCCTAACAGAAGAGAAGAAGAGAAAGAAACACAGTTAGAAAAAGATCTGATGTGTGTACAGTTCAGATGTTTGACTCCACTTACTAACTGTTACCTGAAGTAATGTTTTCCATACAGGTTCCACTTCAGACTAACCAGCTGCCTCACAGGGGTCACTTCCAGGATCCCTCTGGCCTGGATACCAACAAAATAATCACTTAAATGTCTCCTCAGGTAAACGTAAAAGTCTTTATTCCTCTCTGTAATTTCACCAGATTTCCCCTTCTGTTGTTACCTCTCTCTGGTGACTGCCCACGATGAGCTCCAGCACCGACATGTCATCGGCCCACGAGTCAATCTCTGTCAGGTCGTACAGGTTAGAAGTCAAAGGACCCAGACTCCACTGCACCACACGCCTTTTATTAACCAGGTGCTGAAATGCCTGATGGAGACACAGAGAGAATCATGGCAGTGAGGACAGGATTAGAGAAACAATCTGCTCCACCTTTCATGTTGAGTTTTCACCCTGCGAGTCCCACCGTCCCCACCCTGCTCTCACCACAATGTTTCCTTCTTTGGCAGCCAGTTTGAAAGGTGTGAGGCCTCTGAAGTTCGGCACCATGTCGAGTGGCACTGACTGGTCCAGCTCTACATCGCGTGCCATAATCAGGTCAATGGCCTGGCACGCAATCGTCTTGTTAGGCTGCAGAACCAAAATGTGAAGCACTGTGTTACCTAGAGAGAAAAAAAAAGAAGGAAAATAGGGGTGTAAACAAGAGACAGACGTTAAAGGAGAAGAGAAAACAAAAATGTAGACTAATACATTGATTTTAAAAAAAGGAAAGGAGGAAGTATTTCCTACCACGGTAATCCTGGACTCTGGTACTGGCCCCTGCTTCAATTACCATGGAGATAATGTCCTCATTCCCTGCACACGCAGCAAAAGACAGGACGTGCTCCCCTGTTGACAAAATGTTTATTTTATAAACAACATTGGTCCATCACTTTCCATAAAAGCATAAATTACAATCATTAATCTGAAGCTCTGGTCCAAAATAGCTTCCTCTAGTCTTTCTTACACATTCATGTGTGTACATGAAACCCCCTACATTTCACTTTAGGCCTGCTGACTCACCGTAATATATGAGTCCTCCTATCCTCTTCCTGAAGTATAGACCGGTGACTCGAGGTGTGGCCACGTCACCCCCACGACTGATCAGCTGATGAACCAGGTTGATGTTCTGATTGACCACGGCGATGTGGAGAGGAGTAACACCTGAGACAGAGCAGTGGATCCGCATACATACATCAGTCCACTGTAAAATAACTGATACTTATTTCATCAGTTCCACCTCTTGAGTGAACTACTTCAGAATTGTACTGGAGTAAATAAAGTAAATGTAATGAGATACTGTACATACTAGGGGCCGACTGATATAGAATTTTGGGGCAGATACTGATATCAATATTGGGGACGGAAATAATCCGCAACCGATATCTTTCTTAGATGTTCAATCTGTAGATTTATTGCGTTGATCACACAAATGCAAATCAAACACTTGTGGAGAAGCAATATAATGAAGACAACAAGGTCACTCAACTAGAAAGAAACTGTGCATGTACGTGCGTCACAGCTTGACACTCTTGAGAGTAATAATGCTTGTTATAGTCCATATAGCACACTCTGCTGGTGACAGAAAGAAAACTGCTAGTGTAATACAATGACACCAAATGAAATGCTTTTTTTTACTGGTGAATTAATCTAGTAATATCAGCACATATCTGCGATTAAATTAGACAATACTGATAGTCACTGGATAAGCTAATATCGGTCGATATTATCGGCCATTAATCGGTCAAGCTCCAGTACATACCAATCCAGGAAGACACTCGTTCTTTTCTGTATTTAATGTAGCTGTGTCCTGCTCTCTTATAACAAAAAGAGGCCGTATAGATTTGGGACTTGTAAATTGATGTCTGTGTTATTATTAGTCAGAGCCTTGTTTTTGTTGTTGTTGATAATTCACTTTTTTGTTTTTTAACTTTGACTCAAATGCAGTAAGAAAGGTTAATGAGGGGTTAACTGGCATCAAAGTTCAATAAGAGCTAGTCTTTGTGTTTTTATTCTGTCATTTACTGGTTTTGATGCTCTCATGTTTATTTTTTTGTGTCAGTTACATCAAACGATTTTTGATTAGTAGAATTACTGGCTTGTAATCAGTCAATTTTTTTTGACAATTTATTCATCTGTTATATATGTTTGTCTCATCGTTTTTAATAATATAGGGTTATTGTGTCAGTGTATTTATGTGTGTCAACCTTGAAAAAGCTCGGAGGTCATGGGTTCATTGATGAGTTCAGGCGCTCCGTCCATCAGAGCCTCAGCCGCGTCTAGGTTATCGTTCATTGCGGCAACATGAAGCGCCGTCTCACCCAGAGCTCCTGAGGGACAAGATTACATTTCCACAGATTAAAACTAAGACTGCACTAAAATCACAGCACAGAGAAAATTTAAATCTGCAAAATCACAGTTTAGTCATACCTCTCTCAAAGATATTAGTGGATGCACAACTAAGAAGTTTCTTGATGCAGCCAACACTGTTCTTTTTAGCCGCGTAGAAGAGAGGAATATCATTTATACTGAGGAGAGAAGAACAGAAAAAACATGAATACTGTATTCAAAGTGCTTTTACTTTACATCTCCTTAACATTAATTAATACATAATCTCATTTATTGTAGAAAGTGGTCAAAACAGTGTCTTATAAGTTTCTTACTATTTGGTGTAGAGCAGAAACGTCTCGTCCAACATCTCATTCCATCCTTTCTTGTTCTGAAGGCGAAACCTCAGCTGGCTCCACCAATGGTTGAGCTCGCTGGGAGCAGATCTGGCCAGAGACGGAGACATTGACACCTGATGTTCGACTGGAAGGAACTCAGGAGAGAAGGTGAGGTCCACGCTGAAGGAGGAAAACATTACAAGAATTAAAAGGTAGAAGCAGGAGTCATTCAGTCCATTAAACATGGATTACTTTGATATCTTATTCATTTTTGAAATAAACAATACAATACAGTAAGGGAAAGGAATAAAAACAGATGACAGTGTCTCAACCTTACCATTAAAAAGTAAAAGTCCAATTCCTCAATGTCTGCTCATATTCAGTCATAACACACAGCCAAAATGGGAAACAACACCTTTAAAATGTTCCTGTGGAGAAGTGAAATCCCAGAGGTGTCTCCAATATATACGAGCAAGCCATGAGGGAGGAGACGTGTGAAGGGATAGAGAGGGAATGGGTGGAGAGGTCAGGTAGGACAGAGAGAGTGAGGCTTTAATGAGCAGGTAGACTCTCACCGCAGGTCATGAATCCCAAAGAGAAAGTTACACTTTAAAGATTCAACTCACCGTCAGATTAGGAACTCCTTTATCATTCTGATGTGAAATTATCGCCTGTATTCTGTCACCTCAGAAGTGAAGCCACAATAGTCCAGTCCCTTAATCCCAGTATGTCTCTGCTATCACCAGGCCTGTCTGCATTCCTCTTAACTACCACCAAAACCTGCATGGCCACTATTAAGATATCTGCAACATCATGACAGTCAACACATTGCGGTCATTGTTTCTGGTGAACCGTGAAGGAAACCTGTTTGGAAATTGCAAGACTGTAAATCTGGACCCGGGTTTGCAATTTAAACCTGATATTAAAGCAAGATAGTTCCAACTGCAGTTTTCTAGTTGTGAAACTGGGATATTTTGCAAACATGCCACATCTTGTAGATAGAACAAGTTTAGTTCACAATGATGTATTATTTGTCATTTAAAACTGATATTAATGGACAATAGTCCAAGATGCATTTTTTAATGTGTTGTTCTATAATTGGGCTAATTTCTCTGGTCAAACCGGATTTCTTTTGTGGAGTAAAAATGGATGTGATGTATGACTTTCTAACATGTTGCATTTTGTACGCAGAACAAGTTTCATTCACAATGATTTAATGTTGAGCACCATTGATGTGTCAACAGGAATGATCACAAACACAATAATTGCCACATGACAAAGACCATAATGATCATCTGTAGGTCACCAGCAGCATGTAACTTTCCTCAAGGCGGAAAACAAAGATAATGACACATATAATAATGTTTTGTAAAATTCTCAATCTTTATTCCCGAATTATTTCATTTTTAAACCGACTTCATCTGAATCACACATTTTCTTTTTCTACACATCAATGAATGATTTGTAAACTGCTGAATCAGTCAACTTATATAACATCTCTGGTCATGTAGCATGTTGGTGTTTTGCAGCAACATTTATAGGTTGTGACTAACGGGCCGGTCAGCTGCAGGATAAACATGGTTTAAGGAGACTGTATAGGAGGCCCTGCTAATGGGTGAAGATGTGGCAGTCATTCAGTAGTGTGGAGATAATAGCTGTTTACCAGACGCAGAGCACCATCTTTAAGTCGGCTCATAAAGACCAGTGGTTTCCACTCTGTTAATGTCTTTATAGAGAAACAATAACAGAGTAAAAACATGATTCTGCGGTCGGCCCGTCTTCTGTTTCTGAACACTAATTCTTTCACAACACTGTTAACAGCAAACAATTATTACTGACACCTCTGCTCCTTTTATGCCAGATGACAGGCGCTCTTATGCCAGAGTGACCTAATACAATAGAGCTCGATGAGCTTCATTAAACAAAACCATCCAATAATACTGTAGATTCTGCTCCCAATCAGTAGAAGATAAATTCAGAAGTTTTTCTTGGGGGGGGGGGGGGGGGGGTTGGTTAACATATTTTAATCTTTTTATTTAAAAAAACAACACTCATACTGGAATGTGAAGACTTACGTTCCAACAGTTTCATCTTTGATCGCTCAGTTGAAAGTCTTGAACTCAATTACACATTTTAAGATATTTTAAAAAAGGATTCCATGGAGTAACGTCATCTTAAAGTCATGTTTTTTTCTGACTGCACGATCATATTAAATGAAAAAATTCCACATAAGACTAATTCTTAGATTTTCCTATAATACCTGTATGATAATATCAGTGTTTGAAGACATTTGAAGGTCCTTTAAGTGTTATTAAGAGTATCCAACAGTGGATGACATGTTTATTTACATCAATGAGATTTATGCTAAATGTTGATGTAGTGTATTTAACATGTATATTCTATTTACTGCTACTCCACTCCACCAGGGTGTAACTTAACTACACTCTGCTTTTCTAACAGCTCTACTTCTTATTTCTTTATTCTTATTCTTCGTTGTTGTATGCACCATATTGAATCATGAGTCTTTTCTCAGCATGCCATGGACTATTTCTAACTTTTGCATAATTCATGTGCCGCAGGAAACGGACATAATCTGTGAAAACACTAGTTTCTAGAACATTCTAAAGAAATGTTGTCTACCTTTAAAAACAGTTGTATTTTAAGGATCTATTTATTGACATAACTGTCTTAAAAGATTTCATATTAACACAACATATATATATATATATATATATATATATATATATGATATATTGGAAACATCATGATCTGAAAAATAAGATTCTGAAGGTTCAGACTCTGCCTGACCAATCGATATAAAAATGCACAATGACACTGGGACAGTAAAACCAGTGATTACACTTTATGTCAGAAATAGGACAAAGTGCCAGCTGCCTCAGACTGGCAGAGTAATACGGGGGTTTGTGTAAGCGGTCTTACTATCAGTCAGATCTGATGATGATGATATCAGCAGCAGCGGGGCATGTGGGAAACCAATGTCTGTGCTCGCACTACTGCTGATCCATGCAGATCCCAAACTCCGATTTGACTCAAACCTGCTGATCTGTGGAAGCTGAAACACACTTAGTACACCGTGTCATGCTGTGAAGGTGATATAAGTACATCAAGGTGAATAAATTATCTTTTTTTTTTTTGTGTGGCTGCATAAAAGCTTAAACTGGTGCTCACAAAGTTCTCAATGCTTCTCCCTCGCTTTGTCTCTCCACCAATTTGTTCCGACAGTGAAATATCTCAACAGTTATCGATTAGATCGCCAATCACATTCTGTGCAGACATTCATGATCCCCAGGGAATGAGACAAACTCAATAAGGTGATCTTCTTACATTTTCTGGATCACAGCCTTCAGCATCACACACTAGTTTGAATGAATTGATTGGTTTTCAGTAAAATGTCTGACAGCTCTTGGATTGATTTCCAGGACTTTTGGCACAAGCACATAGCCAAAAGAAAATGTGTTTAACTACAAAACTTCTCATCTAGAAAGTTTCAATGTTTCACGATTAAATTCCCACGTGTTATTTTTATCAGCATGACCTGAACTTTCAGTCAGTGGCTAATTAGCTAATCTTAGAAACTATAGTTTATTTAACTAAAACTAAACTTGGACTGTAAACATGGTAAAAAAAAATAAAAATACAACTTTTACATTTCTGAATATTCACATTGTTATGTTGAGTAGCATGTCAAAATAGCATTTAGCTCGAAAAAACACTGACATCTTTATCTACAACCTCACAGAGGCGCTGTCTGGATTTCTGGTTCCAATTTTAAATGTGTGATAAAAATGTCTTTCTGTTGCATCCACTTAACTCTTTTTGTTCATTTGTCCCAACAGTTATGACTCTGTCAGTGTAAACTAAATGACAATCACTTTTAAATCTGGGCAACATTAACAGCTTGTTTGCATGATTTTCTCTTTGAAAACTATTAAAATAGAAATAGTCCCCAAAATACTGCCTAGTTTAAATAAAAAAAATAAAACAATGTTGAAAGGAAGGTGAAAAAACTGATAATGGTAGATCCAATTTTGGAAAATAAGAAGCAAATTCAACATTTTAAATAAAATCATATCATTTATTTTACAAATTTGCACAAATATGAAGAAGTGTTAAACACTCGTACAAGTAAACACAGCCAGTATTGTGTGTAGCCTGACACACTTGCCTCAAACCCACACACGCACACACACACACACACACACACACACACACACACACACACACACACACACACACACACACACACACACACACACACACACACACACACACACACACACACACACACACACACACACAGGAACATACTAACAAAGCATTTCTCCTCCTTCCTTCAAGTGTTAATCAGATCAGATTTTGTCCGTCTTTCCTGTTTCACACATTCACAAAGACTTAATGACTCAGTGTCTTTACTCTTGCAGTCAAACAAAAAGAGGTGAAGTGTGAAATGTACACATAAAGGTCGTGCTCTTTTCTTCTGTATTCATCACAGACGGACGTTCGTGTTTGCAGCTGAGGTGAAGCTTGTAGTGTCCCAGCACGTGAGCTCTGTCGTTGCTCGTAGTGAGAGCGAGCTGTACAAACAGAGCTGATACGTCTTTTAAAGAGGGGAATACATGGCTTACAGTCAAAGTGTGTTTCTAATTTCATGGCAGCCATCTTGGTCTAACCTCAGTCGTTATTTACAGCATACAACAAACTATACGTATCTAAAAAGCTCACGGTGAAACACAAGCTGCTAGGCAGTACCCTGTTCTCTTTTTTTTTTTGCATACAGGTTTTAGCATTTCGGCGTTTAAAGTAGAGAGGGAGTGATATAACTTTACAAACATGTCAAAAAATTGTAGAAAAAGGCTTTGATTGTCTTCACGCAATTCTTTGTGTGGAGAGTTCTCCATGAGAATAAATAAAACACGTTTTTTATAGGTTTTCTTGTACTCGTTGAGGGTGGGGGCGATATAAAAGGGACAGTAGTGGAAGAGGAGGTGAGAGGTAGGACTTAAGATGGGTGAGGGGAGAAGAAGGCAGACAACAATAAAGTGAAATTTTAGTGAGAAAATCGAGCAATCTTCAAAGTCCTCCTCTTCAGTGACTCCCTACCCTCACTTTGACAGGGACTGCAGCTCCAGTAGTGCAATCTCCTCAGTTATTTGTCTTTAGTGGCCGGCAGGAAGACTGGTCTCTTCGTTTTCTCACCTTGTGGTTGTTAAACGGGTGTTTTTTTCAGAATGCAAAGAGTTGCAGTCGAGGCGTTTCCTTAAAAAGTTTTTGTTTTTTTTGGCTTTAAATGTGCTCCTTACAACTGTTTCAGAAACCAGACACAACAAGCAGAGGAATGTGAAGACCACAGAAGTCCATGGCACAGGGTGTGATGTGGGTGGATTTCACACCTCCACCTGTCCCTGCGTCAGATAGGCTCTGAGCTGCTGGGCTGCATTGAAGATCTTCCTCTGGTGTCCCAGCAGGCTCACCCCAAGGTTCTGGACGTCTCTGAAGAGAGAGCAGTGAACATGGGTTAGTTCAACACTTCAGCTTGTTGTATGCACTTGCTGCGGTAGCTCAGGCTGTGCGTAGACGTGGGCTTCAAAGGATAAAAAAGTCATGTCGAGGAGACAGGATTGGAAAGATTGGACGTTGGATTGGATTGAGGAATTTCAGAGTTTTGTTATTCATTTATCCTGTTATCAGCTAAAATATGATGACAATAGGGGCGCAGATGGCCGAGCCGTTAGGTCGCGCCCCATGTACGGAGGCTGTAGTCCTCCAAGCAGGCGGTCCGGGGTTTGTGTCCGACCTGTGGCTCCTTTCCCGCATGCCATTTCCCACTCTCTCTCTCTCCCCAGCGTCCTACTCTATCCACTGCCCTCCCAAATGATTATAAAAATCTTTTCACAAATTGTGACAATATCTTTATCTGCCTTTTTTTTAGAATGCAAAGAGTTTTGTAACTACTTAAAAAAACTACAGTTTGGAACAGTTTGAGATGATAACATGATTTAACTCTCCTATACTTTTGATATAAAAGGAAATCTGTAATAAAAAACATAAAGTTATCAAGCTGTTTCCTGAAAACACGGCAGCAGGGAAGACATAAGTGTTAAACTGTGATGAAAATCTCATTATATTCAGTTATAGTAAGAGATCAATAGATGGTTAAACTAAAATCCATACTCACTCCATTGTGAGCATGCTGACTCTGTCTAAAGAGTCCAGGTTGGCCTGATCGAACTCGTCCTGATATCTCTCCATTCTCAGCGCCTTCAGCCAATCACTGACTGTTGCCACTGCCGTTAAGTCTGTGGGCGTCGGGCTAAGCAGCGGCTGAGAGCAGCTTCTGTAGGGGAAAATGTCAAAATTGGGATCATGAGACTCAACAAACACAGCAGACTGTTCATCACCTGCTGATCTGACACGTTCTGTACCAGCCAGAAGATCTGTCTCACCGTGTTGGCTCAGCCTTGAGGGAGGCAGGGTGCCTGATGAGCCGGTCCAAAGAGGACAGGACCGAGTCGAAGGCTGGCCGGTCCCCTCGATCCGCCTGCCAGCACTGAAGCATTAGAGAGTGGAGGGCAGCAGGGCAGTTGTGGGGGGCAGGAAGACGATACTGGTCCGCTACGGCCTTCATCACCTGCAGTAAGAGAGAAACGAGAGACAATATGAACATAGTGGTGAGGCAGATGGCGTGAGAAGTCTACTCTTATTGCCCTACATTAAAAGTCGCAGACCACTGAGTGCTTGTGAGAGTGACTCAGAAAAAAATATGCAAATATAAGCTGCATGGCATTTTGTCATCATTTAAATGAGTAAAGGAGGAGGTGATAGGGAGCAAGTGAATGTTTTACAGGAGTTTTACACTATTTAAAAGCCTTTTAAAGAATTATCCTTTAAGGTATATTAGTTTTACTTTCTACAAGACTTAAAAGGAAATATTTGACATTACACTACTTTTTCATGGTGGCTACTTTGCAGATTTCTACTTGTAAACAATGAACTCATACCGTTTGTTACGTAAACAAAATATAATAATGAGAATGTGTTGCCCTTTTAAAAAATCAGAACCAGAATTCAGTCCAGGTGGGTACACACACAAGGAATGTATCTTGGTGTATTTTGGTTTTTCAGTGTTCGAATGAGAAAAAAACCTTCATACATCCACTTCACTTGGTTGCAGGCTTGTAGCCACTTCCTATTTAAGATGTCATGCCCATTTTGACAGACTTTTTGCCTGATGAAGGTCTAGTACCGAAACGTTGCCAACAAATGTTTGATTGCAAGTTAGACCGTGTGCGGGAGTTTATCTTTCAGGTTTAAAAACAGTGAACACAGGAAGAGAATAAAAAAGTAAAACGTTGTCAAACAGTAGTACTCCTACTGTCAAGTAACTTGAACAGAAAACGATCAAAATCAAGAAAAAAACAAAATCAATATTCAAACAAAAGGTGCAACAGAGGAGCAGTGAAATCTTCAATAAGAGGACATTTTTATGACAAATAATAATTCTCTTATTAGTTTAAATAGAAGTTTATAATTTTTTTATTATCTTACTGTGTCCTCATGCCTCTATTTGTCAGCCAGCCATAAAGAGATGAGAGGAAAGAGGAGAAACACACAGATTGACAACAAAAACGTCTGGCAGGATGCAAACAGTGAACATTGTGGTTGGTGGTTGGTGCCTTAACTCCTTTTAATGGCATTTTATTACAGTGTAGTAGTTAAACGTGAGTGCATTGGCATCACTAATTCATTACCACTTCCTGTGCTCGGGCCACATTCTCCTATATACTCACTTCTTGATTGCTCATGTCCCAGTATGGACGCTCTCCATATGACATCACTTCCCACATGAGAATCCCGAAGCTCCAGACGTCACTAGCCGAGCTGAACTTGCGATGCTGAAAGGCTTCTGGTGCCGTCCACCGCACAGGAATCTTGCTGCCCTGATGGATGGAGGCAGACAGTGAACCAGTGTGTTAGACTACCCTGGAACCACAAATCAGGAGTTTAAAAACCACAGAAGCTCAGGTTTCCAGTTCGTACCAGTGAGGCAGTGTAAGTGGGTATGTTGTGGTCCAGGCCCCTCATGAGACGAGAGAGGCCAAAGTCGGACACTTTACAGACCAGGTTGGAGTTTACTAGCACGTTCCTGGCAGCCAGGTCCCTGTGGACAAAGTTTCTCTCCGAGAGGTAACGCATCCCTGCACCAATACCCCGGAGCATCCCGACAAGCTGCAGTACACTGAACTGACCCTCGTTCTCCTGAAAGAGGGAAGGGTGGAGGCAGAAACAGGAGAATCACAGAGAGGAGAGGGGATTTTTGAAATGTAATAAAACATGTGAAGTCTCTGAAATCATGAAGAAAAAGGAAAATCGTCTCACCCTGAGGAAGGCGTCTAGCGGCCCGTTCTCCATGAACTCAGTGACGATCCTCTCCGGGGGGGTTCGAGTGATCACCCCTTCCAACTTCAGCACGTTTGGATGGTCAAACTGTCCCAGGACTCCTGCTTCACTCAGAAACATCCCCCTCTCTCTGTCAGACGCCCCCCACCGTAAAGTCTTTACAGCAACCAGCACCTCTCTGCGCCCCAGCGGACGGTAGCGGCCCCGAGAAACCTCACCAAACTGGGCTGGAGTGAAGATAATGTGGAGCAGGAATTGTTTATATTGATCACATAACTACGATAAGATTTAAGAGATGGAGGAAACCAGGCTTACCTGCACCGATCACTTCCTCAATCTTAAGATGAGTGGGATCGATCTCACGGGCAAACTCTTTGACGGCCTCACTGGGATCTTCGTAGGTGGAGGGGTCCACATAATATTTAACTCCACCTGGAAATACAGGATTTTTAATGACATTTATTGTCATTCCAGCAATGTCAGGATGAACTTTACTGCAGCACACAGACTCAAATGTACATCACCAAAGATACAAAGACACATTAAAAAGAATTATCACTAGTCTGTTTGGGAAGTGGCAATTCAAGATAAGGTCCTGTCACCCTATTATGATATTTTAAATTTGTAGACAACACACATTGGTTAAAATGTTTGTTAAACTAATCAAATGAAACAATTGGAAACCACATTTTTTGTGACAAAGTAAAATGGACTTGTATAGTGCTTTTCTAGTCTCCTGACTACTCAAAGTGCTTTTACAGTGCAGGTCACACCTACACATTCACACACAGATGGCAGTGGTTGTTATGTAAAATGACCATCTAAGTAACTGATCCCATCCACACATGATGAAGCAGCAGTAGCAGAATGAACAGCTGTTAGGTGTCTTACCCAAAGACATGTTGACATGTGGCAGCAGGAGCTGGGGATTGAACCCCCAACCTTCTGGTTTGGAGATTACCAACTCTACCAACTAAGCTACAGCTGCCTCAAGTTATGCATTTGCATAAGAGTCCTAATCGTTTCAATTGTTTTTGTGATAACTTTTTTTCAGCACACCGCAAAACCTTACTTTGAAAAGGAAGACTGATTTTTGACTTTACTGAATCTTACCTCGGTTACTGATGTACCGCTGGAGCCGGTCGCTGTAAGGACTCTCCCTCCTCTTGCTGCAATGTAAAAACAAAGTGTGAGAATAATATGCATGTATGTAGAAAAGATAAATTATGTGTCAGATCATGGGAATGGACTTTTTTAAAAACCCTGTTGTACCTGCGAAATACCACCACAACCACAATTGCTGCGACCACAAGGAGAAATGCTGCTCCGCCCATCACCGAACCGACCAGCAGGGGAAGCCGATTCTGGATCTGCTGGGAATGTTCCTCTGTGGGAGAGACGGAGAGGAAAACAGCACAAAGTTAGAGATTTTTCTTTGCTTTGCACCTCTTCTCTTTAAAGGTAATCTCTGGAGAGTCCCAGGTAAGACTATTTATAGGGAGCGCATTTACACACTCATTAGTATCCCAGTTTTAAGCCTTATCCTGCTTTGATCTTATTCAAGTTGTGATGTTTACATGGACACAAGAGATTTGCTATTCATATCATTTGTTAAAAAAAATAATGATTACATCCAGTTTTCTTACAATCTGTAAAATGATCAGACAGTACATGTTTTGTACCAACAAAGAGTGATCTGAAACCTGGAAAGGTTTTTTTTACATGCTGCAGTATTCTTCAGTCTATTGACATTAATGAGGTAGCAGTTGCAGGTTTCTGATTTTGGTTAGATATTTACATGCACAACAGTTAGCAACGGTACATCTGGCATGCACATAAATGCACTCATTAAGTAGAAGAATCTTGAAATAAAGTAGACTGAATTGAGCTGAATTGGACTCAGGGAGATTTCTAATGAAAAAAAGATGATGCCACAATATCCGGGAGCAGCGTAGGAAAGTAAAGACTAAATTGGTGCATTCTTTCAACATCTTTGGGTTTTCTGGGGCAGACTTAAAAAAAAACAAAAGCTGCTTTTGAGTTAAATCCGACACAATGATTTCACTTCTAGCCTTCTTATATTCTAGTTTATTGTTATATAACATTGTTCACTCTTTCTTCTGCATTTCAATACAATGTTTCTTCTAGCTAAGATTTAAAGGCTTTATATGCGATTTTTTGATCCAGCAGATGTCGCCCTTGAGCACCAGCATGAAACCAAAACAACGTTTGCGCTGCATTTTTGTGTTAGCATGCTAATGCTAGCGATCTTTATTATGCTAGCGATCTTTATTATGCTCGTATCTTCACACTGCATGTAAATTTACCCAAAATGACCGTGATCTAAAAACGCTGACATGACATTCAAATAAGCAGTGAGTACAGTCTGTTGTTCTTCTTTTCTCCAGTCCCTCAATTAAACAACTTTTATACGCGAGGGGAGGAGTCAGCCGGCCGTCCTGGCGATGTAAAAAAAGTGAAGATAGGACTCGGAAAACTCGGAAAACATCACAGACAGTGGGACTCGGGTGTTACACCCATTGTAGACAGTCATTACAGTTATTTTCAGCGGATATACTTGATTTATATTGTATTTAAGTGTGAAAAATCGCTTATAAAGCCTTTAAGGTTAACTACTAATAACTGGCACACTGAAATAAATGAGTTGTATTGGTATCATAAAGGATCCTATTTCTGCACATCATCAATGCCTCCCATCGTTAGTGGGGCTCTGTTGTGTCCTAATGACTGTAATATACTTTGACAGATTCACTGGTATCACAGGAAATGAGTGTTGTACCCAGCGGCAGTGTGGTGAAGTAGATGGTGTCGCTGTAGGGGCCGAAGCCTCGCTCATTTCGAGCTCTGATCTGGAAAGCATAGATGGAACCGGGGATCAGAGAGCTGACGGTCACCGTGTTGGTCTCGCTGTAAACACTCGCTGCACTGTCAACGTCTGAACCCTGAGAGACAAACAGGAGGCGCATGGTGGTGGTGAATTTCGTTATGTGTCAGTATTTTGTGCAGCACTTTTTGGATATGTCCAATGAGGTTACCTTGTCAAAATATCTAAGCTGGTACTCCAGGATGTCTCCATTGGGTCTGTCAGGCTGAGGCCACGATAGAGTGATGGATTCTGGGGCTCGGCTCAGCTGGTGCATCATGGGAACTGTACTGGGAACTGTGGGAGACAACAGAGGACTATTAGCTGTGTTGTGTGATGATTATCGATCCGTCATCATTCATGTAAGATGCCAATCATCCTGCTAAAACAAATCACTGAAGTTATGATGTTATGATTCTGACCACTAGGGAGCACTGTTACAGGACCTGTGGAGGATATTAAGTAGAGCGTGAATGTGGAGTTTTTATGGAGCACCGAGCAGGATCTCATTACATTCACAGTGTGGGCTGGCCTGTCCAGTTAAAGGGAACTTTTCAGCATTTTTTTCCCATTCTGTCAACAAACACTGGGAGCAGACACAAGACGGTTTTAGATAATTAAGCTTCATGTGGAGTTCTTATCAATCTTGATCAGTTAGGAAAATTATATAATAGTGTACTTTGTCTGCACAATGCTCCATTCTCCTCTCCTCTCCTCTTTCTCCGTTCTCTTCACTCGTCTACTTTCATCTCCCTCTCCCTCTGTCTTTTTGTCTGATCATCTCTCATTTGTCCCTTTCTTCCCCCCTAGTGACTCTGATGGGATCTGACAGGATATTGTAACCTCGAGCAACCTCCTGTCCAGAGAGCAGTAGAAGAAAAGATGGAGCGAGAGGGAGGGAGAGATCCTACCCGCCCCCACCCCCGTCCCCACCCGAACACACATACATACAGTATCTACCCAAACAATATCCTCAGATCATCTCCTCTCTTTCATCTAATCTTTTTCATCCTCTGTCCCATGCTCACCTGACTGGCTCGTAGTGAAATTGATGCTCGTGTATCGAACCGGAAAAGGGCTCAAAGCTGACACCTCATTCATGGCTTGCACCTGTTGATAACAAGAACACACAGATGTGACATTTGAAGCTTTTTTCCCCTCTGTTTTTCTTTCATGACATGCTGCCGTGTTTTGGAGAAACAAAGCCGGATGCACGCAGCTGTGTTGGCCAGTCAACAAACACCGGTAAATGGGGAATATCGGCACATTATGAATAAGAAATAAGATATGATTTAGCTGAGCTACCAAACGCTAAATAATAAATGTTACGGTGTATCTGCTGACGTGGAGCTTATTGGATAATACAGCAAGGAGTACCTATCTCCTCTGCAGCTACAAGAAGTGTTGCATTATGACAGAATTAAAAAAATGTATGTAGTCGAAAGGAATAACCCAAAATTGCAAGACAAGCAAGTTGAGACATTTAATGCAGCATAATCAACCCCAAGCACAGTCTTAGACTAATAACAAGGTGATAACAGAGTGTTTTGTTCCTTTAACAGACAGTTCTCCACAGTACCTGTATGAGATAAGTCACTCTTGTCAGCAGGTTGTTGAGGGTGACCTTGGTTTGTTTGAGGTTGGTCTTAGAGGGGCTGAAAGTGACGCCCTCCCCGCACCAGGAGCACGACGCCGGGTTGGTGAAAGTGGCTGAGGGACAGATTCGACACACTACCCCGTACCACACCTCGCTGCGGCCTCCCATATCCACAGGGGGGCGCCACCTTAAGGAAACGCCACCGTCCCCGCTCTCGTACTCCCAGGACAGAGAGATGGGCGCAGATGGAGGAGCTGTGCAGAAAACAGAGAGAGAACGGGAGGGGCGACATTCATAATGTAAGCGGGAGACACTTAGATGGAAGCATCTGCTAAAAAGTTGAAGATATGAAAGAAGCTTCTTGCTGACAAAGACGTTTAACCAAGTAAAGTAATGGAAGAACAAAAGTTGGTAGTGAAGCTATTTAAACAAAGCAAGCAGAGACTAAACTAAATACTTAACCGTTTTTTCTAATGCTGGTGTAAAATTTTTATAACTTTGTGTTAAGGAGGGTTGACTCAAATGACTGACTTGTTTTTGTTCTCACAGTCTGAGTAAATGAGGCCTGTTGAGGTCTTCACAGAGACTCAGGCAGACACAAACAAACAGACAGGTAACCATGTTATGTCTTAGATGCTGTAAATCAGATGCAGCCTATGTGTTTGTCTGTTTCTTTTGTTTTTTGTTCATTTATGTAAATTGTCTATTATTTTGAGTTATTGAAGAAATGTTGTGGAATGTTTGTGTAGTGTGGAAAGAATAATATATAATGTGAGTTTGTAAAATGTATTGTCACAATATAAACTGCGGACCCCAGGAAGAATAGCTTCTTGCGATGCTGAAGCTAATGGGGATCGAAATAAATAAAACAAACAAACAAAAACAAACAGACAAAGCTCACTTGTGCAGGCAGAGGAGTTGGCATCATTGGCTGCTCGGTAAAAGCCGCTGCGACATTCACACACCCTGGATCCCTCCTGGCTGGTTCTGCTGTTAGGGGGACACACTGAGCAGGGAACAGAGCCCGCAACAGACTTGAAGTAACTCACAGGACACGCTGCAGAGAGAGAAGAGACACAAGGAGGGATGAGGTTCAGTTCAGTTTGTGATCAAATAAATCAAAGAATCAGTAAATCTGAGTCAGTGATGTCCAGAACCTAGAATTTGACGTTGCAACGCTCTATAAAACTGTCTCTCTGAGTTGGATTTACTTATTACTGCACCATGCCATTCAGAGAAAAAATAATTCAGTCTGAAATCAAAACTAGAAGGAACACTGACAATTGTGTCTGACATTAAAGCTTTGGTGTTTTAATTGAAATAAAGATTAAACAGGACCAGATGATTATTAGGACAAAACTCAAACTGTGAGTAATTATTTTCGCAGCCGAAACATTTAAATTATTTAGTTAGCGTTAGTAACAGTATTGAAGCTTCACAGTTATTTTAGTTTATCTTAGAAAAAGCACTTTACACAAATTGCAGTTTATGACATTGTGATCGAATAGTAAGTGAATGGACCTTTAAAAATGTTTGTCACCAGTGATTGGTTAATGTCACTGATAAGGAAATGTGTTCACAAATGGGGTGTTAAAAAGAAAAAAGATAGTATAAATGAAAAGGGCATCACTAAAAAGGATTACATTTTTATTTTATTTTACTAAGAGGACCCGACAAATCTTACAAAGTATCAGCTGACAGAGCAGCAGAAGACCATCTGTGAACTTCTGCAAACTGGGAGTTTTCTTTGTGTAAACACAATTTAAATACTTCTAATTTGTCTTTTTTTCTGTTCCGTCTAGAACAAAAATCACACACCATATACTATTTTTGGGTAAAGCATCAATTTCATAGCGGTTTGTTGTTTGTTGTTGGCGTATCCCAGGACAGTCATTTCCTTGTGTTTACAGTGGAAGTGGCTTGTGTTCAGACTGCAGCCAAACAATCAGTCACACAAAGTTCAAATGGTCACACTGACCCTTTTCAGTGCTTTCAAAAGAAATTGGGGAAATAAACACTTATTTTAAGAGTTTGAGGAGATGATCCATTTAACTCTCAGGTTTTGTACATAAACAGTCACTTAGGTACACTTAGTTACACCCAACAGCTGATTAGCTTAGCTCAGCATAACAAATATATAACAGGGGAAACAGCTAGCTTAGCCACAATCTGTAATGTTTATACTTTGGGTTGTTTAACGATATATCAAACAAGTAATAAGCTTTAGAAGACAGAAAACATTTCCTGTGTTAGCTAACTGGTTGCTGTTTTGGCTTCATATAGCATACAGATATAGAGTAGGGTCTAACTATTATTTTGGTAAGACCTGAAACTGTTTCAACTTCACACTTGGCTAAGACATTGGATATGGTTATAGCTCAGTAAAAACTAGTGAGTTTGTGAGTTTTATATTATTGCCATCTTGGGGTAAATCTTTCATGATCCAATCGTCAAAAAAACTCTCTCTATCCTCTCAAAGGGTATCGAGAAGAAGATACGTTTAACTGTCAGGTTTGTCAACAAATATCAAGTTACACTCAATAGCTTATTAGCCTAGTTTAGCTAAGGCAACACAAAAACCCCTTGAACTAGGAGGAACAGCTAGCTTCATAGCCACTTTGAAGTAACACCCAGCAGCTTATTTGCATAGCTTTGATACAGTCTGTCAGTTTTGTACTTTGTTTGTTTTATAGTGGTTTATTGACATTCAAATAAGATGGTCAGTGTGACAGCAAGTACAGAGTGCCATCAAATTATAAGGCAGGTTAACATGTATATAACTAAGATGTAAGCAACACAGATCTTATACTTTAACAAACACGGGGGCTTCTATTTTTCTAGACTTATCCAAGTGTGATTTGGCTGTTTCAACTTGTTCAAGTGTAACTTTTTGTGAGAGTGCCATGTTGTTGCTGTCCCAGGCAAAAAAATAAACATATGAGCTAAAACCTCTTTTTTATGTGACAGTGTTGTTTTTTTTAGATTATCCAACAGTCTTAAATATTAATTGACAAATTTGACATTTTGGGATGTTTGCGCTGATTCACTGTCTGATGGTGAGTTAAAGCCAGGCTGTTCCTTCGTTTTTCTAATCTGTATGCTAAGCTGAGTGAACCAGCTGCTTGTTTAGCCTTAAATTCAATGGATAAAATGAAAGTAGTATATCAATCCTCTCATCTAATCCTTGCCGCAGAAAGGCGAGCTAGTGCTTTTTCCAAATATTTCAAACTCATCCTATGAGAAGTATGAGCATTATCTCAAAAATGTAGTCTTTTAGTTTATCTTTAGACAAAATATAAATGTCACAGGACAGCAACAGTATGTGTAATTACGTAGTAATACACAGGAAATGGCGCAGAAACCCAACTGGGATACATTAATAATAAATGCATGATAGTCCTTTCATCAAGTTAAGTTCAAAGCATGAGTATGTCCCCCTCTCTTATTGCTCTCTCTCTCTCTCACACACACACACACACACACATACACACACACACACACACTTACAACACTATTTGCAGCTGCAGGATTTTACCCACATTTTTTATGGTGGAAAATCTGTGAAATGTGCCAATTGTTAATGTCACCAGCAGAACAGCTGAGCAGCGAGGTCAAGGTAACACACACTGCTCATGCTGCTGGCTGCCGGAGCCTCCAGAGATCGTCCTGAGCCGGACTATAAGATCACTGAGTGTACTGCCGTCGGGCTGGTTTGCTGACATTTTCACACGCTTTGTGTTAGGGCCAGAAAAGTAGTGTCATCTAAAGGTTGCATCATTCAAAAAGGAGTCTCTTCGTCTGTATGCTAAATGTAAAGTGGGTGTTTCTCTTACAGTGAGGCTTCTTTCTGGTACCTTTGAAGGTGTAAATGGCACACACGATGACACCTTTTAAACATGCACCAAGAGCTGGTGGAGGAGAGAGGATGTATGTGTGTGTGTGTGTGTCTGTGTCTGTGTTATGGTCAGTTAGAGTGAACCCCTCACTTTATTTATATAACCCTGTCAAGTACATGCACCCTGCTTCAGATTTGACATGCTGTATATACGGTCTGTATATATGTGTGTGTGTGTGTGTGTGTGTGTGTGTGTGTGTGTGTGTGTGTGTGTGTGTGTGTGTGTGTGTGTGTGTGTGTGTCTCGATGGGATTGAGGCAGTGTGGGAGTGGAAGATCAAAAAGTATAAGAAGTGTATAAATAAACAGATAAAAGGTTTTCTGTGTTCTCACTTGTCTCTGGGAGCCGACTTGGCTTTCAAACAGGTGTGAAGAGCAAAAAAAAAAAAAAGAATAGGGGAGAGAAGTAAAAGGATCCAGAGACTGCAGAGGGAGAATAAAGTAGGATAAGTGAACATGGAGGTGGAAGGTCTAAGAGGCACAGGATGAACAGTGGGATTATGTATATGAGCGCCAGATGATGGGTGAAAAACAATGGAGCAGAGGGGAGGGAAATATGCAGCTTCCTCCATCTTTAATGTCCCGGCTGCATATAACCAGACGTGTTCTCATACGGCTCTGACACGAAACATGACTTTGCTACAAAGCCCCTCGCAGCAATAGCGGGCTCTAGCAACACCCCCCCCCCCCCCAAAACCTCCCCTCCCTCCAGTCCTCATCCAATGCATTACAGCAGCCAATGAGAGTGCAAGCCCTCTGCCCTCTCATTTGATCTGCCCCTCATCCGTCCAGCCGGCTGCATCCATCCACCCATCTTTCACTCTATCTCCAGGCTATAAAGAAGACACCTCATGGTCATTATGTAGACACACTCGTGGCTTTACATCGATCACACACTTTACACACAAGGAGAGGAAGAAGGTGAAATGAAGTACAGATGAGTAACAGTGAGGGCTGATGATAAACAGACATAGGGGGATGAATGTGATGTTTTTTTACTGTAACAATGACTTATATAAGAGATGCATGTTTAGTGAGCTCACTGACCAAATGATCCACATGGAGGTTGATGACTGGATCATATTTTCAGACATGTTTAAGTGAAATGCAAAAAAAATCAGAAAGTTCAAGCTTCTCCAAGTTGACTTCTTATTTTTTGTCTCTTTGTTTTATACTTTAATTGAATGTGTTCGGGTTATGGACTGATGGTTAGACAAACATTTGAAGATTTCCTGCTGAGATCTGGAAAAAAGAAATGATTATTTTCTACTATTTTCTTTCGTTGTACCAATGACAAAACATTTCATCAAAATGTTATAATTTATTTTCTTTTTCCTTTTTTATACCTGCTTACTTATACTCTACTCTATCACTCATGCTCTTTCATTTGTTAAGAGGAAACCTGTTTTTACTCCAGTGTAGACATATTAAACTAAACTAATATGAAAACCCAGCTGGTAGAATGGGATGGAAGGTGGAATGCGATATGGATGTATCTTTGGTAATTATACAGAGTTTGCTGTACATTTTGAAAATGTGTGAATGTGTTAAATATCAATACAAATATTCTGAGGAGAAATGTGTGAAAATACTCATCAGTTGCCGCCCTACCAACACATTTTGGGAGCTACTGGAATCAAATGACTGACATGCTGCCAAAGTACTTTCTCAGTAATGTTATCACGATTTTTTACAACATAAATGTAAAAACAAGAAAGAAAGAAGGGAAAAAACAAAGAAAGATTGTTCATGAAAATGCAAGCCATTCATTTTCCTTTGAATTAATGTGTATCCAATTTCAAATTGGTAAATAGATACAGACAAGGGGGAAGGATTAGGTTTGCAAAGGCTGGACAAAAAAGAAAATTAAACCATGTGAAGAGAAAAACATATATAACATAATATAAATTTATATATTTATATAATATATATTTTTAAAGACATACAATGGAGATAAAACAACAAGACAGCAATGAGTAATTTGAGGTTAACATAATATGTTGGTATGTAGATGGCTGACCCAATTTCTCTCTTCTCTTCCTCTACTTGTTTCATGCACTCATTCCCTCTTTTGGCTTCCAGCGTAATCTCTCTCTCTCTCTTTTCTGTTTCTCAGACACACACACACACACACATACACACGCGCGTGCGTGCGTGCACACA